TACCCACAGTCTTTGTCAGTTTAAAGCTTGAATCACCCAAAAATAGTTTAAAAGTGGAACGATTTCCATGTTTCAATTCTACCGGAATTACCGCTCAACTTGTGGATCATCTAGAGGTATAGGGGACTTGGGTATCTGAAGGTCATGTCGTTTTGTTTTGTTTTAATGAATCGACATTCATGGAGCCTATTTAAACTGATTTTGCTCAATGAATACTTGTCATTAGAAATCAATAAAATACGCCTTTTATCATTGGAAAACCAGTCTACGTAACAGCAACAGAAGTAACATACGTTATGCTCAGCCGTGTTGCCAAACTTGTAAGCAGCACTTTGTGAAAAATGAAAGAATTGGAGCAAAAAATCTTAGATTTTTGACATTACGTTGCGCTTATTCGACACGTGACCCCCGTATCAGTTGACAGAGTGTCATGTGACTTCGCTTGTGGTACTCCGGTGAAAGGCACAAGGCCATCCGGCCTGATTTTGACGAATTCTTCAATGAGTACTACAAGGCAGGTGAAATGTACGATATCAAGCACTCAGAGTTGATGCTCGTGGTGGACTTTGGATACACATTAATAGCAAAAAATCTGAAGTGCAATTATGGCGTGATTTTAATGTTGTGTCCCTTTGTTCAGATCGAACACTCTATGGGGTTTTTTTCACATCACAACGCTAAAGAAAGTCCAACGTAACCAATTGCCTGCTATTGGGTCCAATGTCCTTCATAACCCTAACCAGTGACCTTGAGTTGTGTTGATTCGTTCTCCCGTATCTACTTGCTTATTGGTCGTGCATGCAAGTTCGAAGCAGAGGCGTGAGAGATGGTTAATTTGTTAGCGCTGCGAAGACATGCTCGAGGAAATTGAGAGTCCGGAAGTGAGGTGACAATTGAATGTATCGGATGGTCGGATGTGTTGCCTGGTTATTCAACAATTGCGTACTTCAATCTTGATGCATCCGTCTTCGAGAACTAGTTTTTAAAATATAAAGAAATCCAGAATTTTTGAGGCTACAGAGTCACAATCTGAAGATTCCTACCTCGCCATATGGAATGGTGATTCCATCCATGTAGTTCTTCTAAGGTCCAAGTGTTGTGCCATGTTCCACACTGCGTGCCGACGTTCTCTACTAACTACTCACAAGTAATATGTGTTCGAGGTGAAGTTGACCCCGTTATTGGACTTTTCTCAAATGTCAACAAACCAGATGCGCTCAAATCAAGTGGTCAGAGACGCAAGAGGCCCGCCCTTAGACACTGGTGAAATCCCTTTTGGCAATATCGTTTTTCTAACATTTACCATGTTATTCCAATAAAGCCCTTTGTTTTACTAGGCTGGTTTCTTTGGAACACTATTAAAATTGCCCACTGGTAGTAATTTAACTGTTTGCTCTACACATTGTTGTAATATTTGTTACCGAAGATAGCTTGAATATACTGCTTTATCTCTGATATTTTTCGACTCTAGTAAGTGGGTCTATTAGCGTCTAGACTCTTGTTATTCACAGTTATATTATGTTTTCAGCCAGTGTCTATTGGCTAAATCGTTTAAATTGTAAAATCGATTGGACTCGCTTGCTAAAGATGACGAATTGCTTAGATTCAAGACTCTTTTCCCTTGACAAACACATTACGGCTAAGAACACCGATGGAAGTTCACGAGATGGACTTATCACAGAGACTGGCCGACACCACCCTGACATTCATCCTTCATTTTGCAAAAAACGCCTCATTTGAAGAGCTTGTTGAAGGGAAGCTGGTGTTGTTCTCCGTGAGACGTGATTGGTAGTTAGTGGGTGAAGTGCGATTGGCTGGTTACCGACCTCATGGATAGTTAAAAGGGGATTGGCCGGTTGTTAACATCAAGGTTTTGACAGAAATGTCATATCAGCACTTTCAAATGATTGCGGTCTTGCCTAAGTAGAAAGACATCTGTGTTCATATTGACCGCTACTTTTGTTGTTACACTTAAAGACAAATGGTCAGTCATCGAAAGCATGCTTTAACCAAATTAAGCCAAAGATAAGCATTTCAAAACTTGCGATTTTTTAAGTGGCGCCGTCTATCAACTTCACCGAAAACAAAAAATTGGCGTCAGTTTAGACGTTCAGCAGGACGGTTTGTATGGCTTGGGTTTTTACATGATCCGTAAACAAAGAAACAATTTAATGGTCACGTGGAGTGTGTTACTTCAGTGATGCGGCAAGCCGAAACACGCCATCAGCTTTTCTAACCTGCGTGTGACGAGCGAATTTGGTCTATTCTCGTCGAATTTTGGACGAGAAAGAAGTCAATTTTGCAAGTAGGGCGGAAAACACATCATTGCGAAACAGGTTGTCATTTTTGATATCAACTTTCTCAGTTATTTGATAAGTAATTGCGAACCATTGCTAACACGACTAGACCATTTCTCTATGAAATCGATGACTTTAATTAGTCAACTGCCGGATTAGTTTTGAAGATTCCTGGATGGAGGTGTAATGCGTCAAAGTCGACAAGAATTCTGTCAAGTTTAATGCTTTTTTCTCATGTGGGTAAATTTTAATCATCTCATCACGAAGGTGATAAGTGAGAATCGAAAATAGGTCAAGTCATTCCGTTTTGATTACACGAAAACCACGGTGATGACACTGACACTGGACCAATGGTAAACCACGACGGCGTCTAAACTGAATCCGTCAACGAAAATTGCGTCTCCAGCGTTTGATCTCGTTAGCTGACACGAGGTTGTATCTTCAAGGTCATTAGTGAGCTGTCAGCGTGGTGAAAAATGCCTGCATGTGGTTTTTTGCAACGGGTTCCAGGGTTGAAGCCGATGAAACCAAATCGGGATTAAAACAAATAAGACAAATGTCAGATTCCAAACGACACAGAAGGTTGAATGAACGATCTGATGTGGTTTTTTAAAGAACCAATCAGGATTTGCAAAATAGAGAGGTGGTACTGTGGTCACCCAATAACAAAGTGATGCAAGCTGATCTAATCGTTAGCGGGGTAATATCAATTTTCAATATGCAACAGGGCTACTAGTTACTCAAGCAAACAATACCACATTGTCAGGTGCAAATTATACCTTGATATCCAATAAAAACCTCACATTTTCCCGTCTACTTGAATGCACGAAGAACTATTTTGGTTATCATAATTAAAAAAATAAACCAGGCTTGGGGCTAATCAGAGCCGCCATCGTCCACATTAGTGATGGCTGCAGTATTCAGTGTGTTGTGCAAAATTAGAGGTAAAAAGCAAATCTGATAGGAAAAGTTATTGATTGATTTAAACTAACAGGACCCATGCGCCAATATTCGGCCCCACTGGTCTGTGTAATTACGTGCGTGTTGATGCTTTAATGTTTGTCGACGGCACCAGGTTCTACCACACCTCTCGCTTCATCTAGGCATAAAAAATTTCAACAACGTGATATTTTTTGGCAAATGGAAATCATCCGCGGTAGCTTAACTCAGACAAAACAAATAACCAATAAATTCAATTTTGCTTCCGACTACTTCGAAATTTACAGTTATATTGGGGAAAATTGTCAGAACAGATGCGACAAATTACTGTGCATTCTCAAGTTTAGGCCGCGTCCAACCATGCAGGAATTGTGGCGCACAGCCCAAAATCTATAGCGTGTATTTGATTTATCAAACGGTCGTTACAAAATCGAATTTAAGTCAAAGAGCGGTTTTGCTCAATCGAGGTGTTTCGTTGATAATACCCTCCCCGGTATCACATTCTCAACCACCTCGAAGTTGAGTGTTTAAAAACATAAAACGAACAAACATTTTTTTATGTGCGTTCATCACTTCGCGTGCACTTTTCCCATGCACTGCGCGGCGCCATTAAGTCGGTCGCTTTTATTCGTTTTAATAAGGTTAAAAAATTTATTGCGTATTTAAACAAAAACCAATAGCACCCATTAATGCTACACTGGTCACTGCGAGGTATCCGATTCATATTTAAGGGAAAAGGTATGTAGGTCGTAAAGCATTTGGAAAAAAGATGACTTCATTGGTTGGATGACGTGTTACCGTTTGTTTATCTATGTTAACATCTAACCTGAAAGATAAGCAAGCGGGCAATTCAAATTCAAACCTGATTTTTTTCAAATTGCTTCGTGTCAGCCCAGACACCCAGAGGAAACGTCAATTTTTTTGGAATTCAGGCTTAACTATATTGATTGACACACGACTTCATCGATTCCGCATTTCAGTGAGAAAAGTAAAACAAAAAGCCACTTTTTCATATTGCGGTTAAATAATTCCCATTGAGCGTCAAGTTGAAGCGACATGTGACGTTATTTAGAAATGCTTTTTTGATAAAAGTCAAAATGTCACTACCGCTTCACTTGGCGATTCATACAACTTGTTTTTAATGCAACCTAGGAAACTGATCTCAACGAGATTGCTGCACACGGAAGGAAGCGTCATCATTGGCTGGCGAAATTAATTAGATAAAGCTCGTTGCAAATCACCAGCATCGATCATCAGGCAAATGATTTAATTGAATGAAAAAAAAACAGATATGTGCACGCTTCTACCCCACACAACTTACATACGTCACACGGGTTTAAATCACCATAATGACGGAGTGCAGAAATACGTGTCACTTATCTTTGCGTTAACAGGTCGCGGTATTTGTTTTCAACTGCAGCTCTTACTGTCACTACTGCCGACGACCTTGAGGGCTCGGAAGTTGCACTTGTGAAAAAATTACACTGACCTCTCCGTGCACTGTCAGTTTAAAATATGCACGGTGTACTGACAAGTAGTAAGTAGGTGTTTTTATATAAGTAAGAAAACCTGGATACCGATAGTTAGGGGCACCCGACCCCAACCTAATTCGACGCGGATAAACCGGCCTTTTGAAATAAGAAATGTGCTGATTTACTAAAATAGAAGGGAGAATCATAAGTAGGTAGGAAACAGAGATGCCTTCACACAAATAAACGGAGAGAAATGACGTCGAGCGGGGATTGGCGAGGACACTGTGGCCAATCAGGAAGTCGTGTCAAGTGGCGTGGAGTTGTTGTTGCCGCCGGACACGGATTGAGCGCTCGCGGCGAAGTCACGCTGCAGACCGCCCAGACACTGCTTCAGCGACTTGATGGAGGCCTGACTTGTCGCCTTTATCAGCAGGAGGTTCTTAAAACACCCAAAAAAGGCAGCAAGTTAAAAAAAAAGAAACGAAATTTTTTTTGCGCCAGCGAACATACTACTTACGCGATAGAGCTCAGTTACTTCGGGATTTCGACTTGAGAACGCCACCGTGGGTCGTGTGTAGAGGTCCTAAAAGGACAGAATGCGACAAAATTAAGCCACCACATAGTCCTCTGAATATCGATTAACATCGGGGAAGACGTGCTGCAATTGGTTGACATGCCGAGTATTCCGATTGGCCCATCTAGAGGTCAACGCTACACTCGATCGACCTTGATTAAAAGTCCCCAACCTGTGAACTAGAGCCGGCGGATTCTGGCAACTCTGTTTGACCTTGAGAGGACGATCTTGATTGGACCATTCGTGTAACCAAGCCACGTCAGGCGAATGAGTCACCAACGGCGTTTCTCTGACAACCACATACATGTTAATCCGCTTTCTTTCATCAGATCAAGGTCATTTTGACAGATCACACGCACTTTGGCCGACGCGATTGACGCTTTCTGCACAAGCTCTGGTTTTGTTTGTTGCGCTAGCGTGGGAAGGTCGGTTCTAGCGTCAGACAAGGCATCTGGTAGCGTTATCTGAGTACGTGGTTTCTCTTGGTTACGGGCAATCGTGATATCAACCGAACAGCGAAGCTACGCAACTGCAAACAAACAGACAAGTTCAATTTTGCTGCAAAAATCATCCTCGCAACCATTACGGTGTATGCTTTTATAAAATAAAATAAAATTACGAAACGAAAAGATAGCTCAGCTTGAGCGACCAATCGTCTGCGAACTTGACCGGACGGACCTTAGCTGACCTTGAGAGGACAATTCTGATTCGACCATTTCAGCCCGCTTCAAAACCATACCTCGAGGTGACCTTGAGGGGACAATCCTGATTGGACCATTCTAGTGAACTTTAGTAATGGGCCTGTAGTGCGTGATAGCCAATTACGACGCAAAATTTTCATTCAAATCCGAGAGAGGAAAAGCTAGCTGAGCTTCAACTGAACTTGACTCGATACTAGGTTGACCTTGAGCAGACGATGATGATTGGACTATTCTGGTGATCACTGATATCAGACAAATGGCGCTCGATCGTTAAGTGATGTTACAAAAAACCGAGTTATTCGAAAAACTACAAGCGTCGACACCTTCCTGTCGACAGCCCACCTACCTCATCAGTTGAATTTGGGTGGAAAGCATGAACTCACGTCAATCTCCTTGCTAAGGAGGTTCCCCTCGCGTTCCAGCAGTCGGAAGAGTTCGTTCAACTGCAAGTAGGGATCGACGATTGCGGGCACCGACGAACTGGAAGTGACTTCGGAGCTGAAAAAGAGACGAGGGAGCCAATGAGAAGACGAGAGGGTGGCCCAATGGGGTGACACAACGGGACGGAGACTCACGGATGGGGAGACGGAGGCTCGAGGAATTTCTTCTCGGCACTCCTGCCGGCCCTGGATAGACCGTAAGTGGAGGTGGAGGTGCGCTGAGATCTCGATTGGTGATCTGAAAAATAGTAATAGACTACCTACTTAATTCGCCAAAGTAGCACGGTTTTTAACCGTAAGACAGTCGGGGACAAACCAGAGTTGGAGGAATTGGACATGACAGGTCGCGAGTCCTTCACTGGCAAAAGCGACGGACGTTGAGCAGTTAGGGAAAGATTCGAGAGCTGGAAAAACAACACAACAAAAAGCCTCAGCATCAAAGTGTTCGTGAGGTTTTTTTGGCCTTGGAAACAGTCAACTTAGCATGTAACAAGACCAACAAACTCACACTGGTTTGGTCGAAGGCCTTCTCCGTGTGGTATTCTGCAACTGCACGAATATGATTTACCCAAAGTTGGCGTTCCTTCGCGTCTGCGGCTGCAGGTACACAAAGCAAGTTTTACGACGCTAGATTCTGGTGTGTGTGCGTGCGTGTGTGGACGTGTGTGTGTACGTGTGTGTGTTGTGTGTGCCTGCATGTGTGTATGTGGGTGTGCATGTGCGTGTGTGCATGTGTAATGCTTGTGGGTGCGTGTATGTGTGTGTGCATGTGTGTGTGTGTGCATGTGCATGCGTGTGTGTTGTGTGTGCGTGCATGTGTATGTGTGTGTGCATGTGTATGCGTGTGTGTGTTGTGTGCGCGTGTGTGCATGTGTATGCGTGTGTGTGTTGTGTGCGCGTGTATGCATGTGCCTATTTGTGTGTGTGTGTGTATGTGTGTGTATGTGTGCGTGCATGTGTGTGTGCATGTGTATGCGTGTTGTGTGTGCATGTGTATGTGTGTTGTGTGTGCGTGTATGCATGTGCCTGTGTGTATGTGTGTGTGTGTGCGTGTGTGGAATAACAAACAGCCGCTTCCGTGACGCTGAGGTGATCAACGTTGGTGAGTCAGACCTCGCCCCCCTCTCTCTCTGAGGTCGGACTTTCGTAAACAAGTATTGCTTACGACTAATTCAAAAAAAGAGCTCACGTAAACACACACACACACACAAGGAAGTGAGAAGGCGTCGATTGACTTGAGATACCGCAACAATCCGACAATAAAAAAAAAACACCGGATTTAGAGAAGACTTACCCTTCAATCGGAGATTTTCACCCTGGGAGATGTTCACGATGAAGGTTTGCGAGTCCTCGTCCGAGGGACAGACAGTGGCAAACTGGGGAAGGGGGGGAGAGAAGAAGAGGAATTGGATTAGCGTTGGCCAGAAGTACTTTTGCAAAAGTGCATCGCCCCAACCCCCCACCCCACACACAAAACCGCCTCAACATCCCCATCGTCACGTGCCTGAGGAGTTGTTAGTTCACTGGAATTCTATTGGTTGAAGGGCAACCCGCGACGCATGAGGATACATGACGCCGTCGTTTAGAGTTGTTTTAACACGCTTAGTTTAAACACAAACAGAGGCCGATCAACACACTCACCACGAGGTTGACGCAGCCACGCGGTTTCTGGTATCGCTTGTGTTCTTCCCGCTGAAATGAGGGACAGAATGAGTAAGTGTTGATGATGGCAAAATAGCGCAACTAGCACTCCTAAAGTGGTCAACCACAAACGACTGGAGAAATTTGGCTGATCTGTTCACCTGCAATAAGCAGTGACCCCGTGCCCTGCATTTAAGGACGCGTAGCATTATGAAAATTTACGATTTGAAAAAAGAAAGAGGGCAGGACTTTGTACGTTTGACACATTACCACTAAGTGTTGAGGGGAAATTAGAGACTTGATGGGACGCAAAACGCTCAAACTCACCTCGTAGTATTCCAGCAGACCAGTGGCAGAATCCACCACAACCCATCGATACTGATATCCCTTCATCACGTTTGTGAATTTCAGCAGCTGACCCTCAAGACTCTGCCTGTTATGAGGAGAAAAATTAAAGTCAGCAACAAACAATAGCCACAAAAGGCGTGGCACATCGAGTTTTCGGCAGTTCCAATACCAAACTCTCCATGGTAAATACGAATACGAAAAAGAATCGCTGACCCAAACCCATTCAGCCAAAATAAAAGCTCAATGTACACGGATAACTCAAGGCAGATAACCCCACAACTTAAATCGAGCGAATTAACATCGAATAAGGCGATAAAATTGAACTGGAAATCTGAAATTAGGACATGTAAAATGATTACGACGCCTGTGAAACACACACGTGTGGTTATAAATTGTGCAGAAATGTGTGATTTAGTGAGACTGATACAGTGCAAGCCTTTAGGGCGATTTGGTGAGACTGTTTGGAAATAAGGGGTGCACACACAAGGGTGAATAACCAAAACGCATTTCACACCAAGGTTTGAACGAAACAAACGACCAGAAACATCACCTGATCATATCCCTGAAGGAGTTTGACAGATAGAGAAGAAAAAGGAATAACAAAAGGCATTTGGCAGACAAATTAGCCAAAGTATAGACAGTTCATCAACAAAAACTGCTTACCTGAAAGTAAAGCGGTCTTCTTCCATCTTGAAGGACTGCAAATTAGAAAAGGCGCTCTTATAAAGTCGGTATTTTGATGTAAGAAATGGTTCTGAGTGCACATCAATTGATTTTACTTGTCTATCTTTCGATTAACCTTCATATTCTTCTTTTATCACGTGTAAGGCATCAGTTTGACAAAAAAAAATAGCAGTGTAAATCTTGGTGAATCACAGTTGTGACAGCCAGGGCTTGTCTGCTGAAAAGCCATTTGTCGACTATAGTAGGGGAGATGTCAATAACTTACCACGTCATCGAAGGTACGGCATTTCAAAGTCAATTGTATATATTTTCATTTTAGTAATATAATGCTTGTTATCAATTACAAAAACCATAAGACACTTATATTCAATGACAGGCGAAAAAGAATGATGAAATCTGACAACCTGTTATTTATTGAATGTAAATACCTTACATCTATCCATCAAACCGATAAATTCCACTGTAAAACGGAACCAGGAATGGTTAACTCGATTTTTTTCATGAAAAGTTCGGTAGTTCTCGAGTTATATATACATAAAAGTAATGCTGACAATATACATTGCAAAAAAACAAATTCAAGGGTTCAGAGAGTTTTGCTTCAAACCAATTCGCAAATTGCATCACAAAAAAGATGTCAAAGTATAAAAGACAAATGGGAACAAAAAATTCATTAAAAAATCAAAGAAAACATTCGTGATAGTGTGGAAATACACAAATAGCCGCGATAAAGAGCTTTTGCGCTTTGCTGACAGCACACATGTTGTTCTCAAATAATAGATCGCACCTGAGCTACTTTATTCACCTCAAGAAGCTTTCTTCTTTCGGCTTCTGAAAAATCACCAAGGTCAACATTGTTCATTCTGCACAAATTTTGTACTATTATTATTGGTAGAACATTTCAATGCGTTTATTGGTTAGAAATCTTGGCTTTATTTCGAAAGAAAAGCCATCCTCTTTTTAACGTACCTGGCCTAAGTGCATATGCTAAAACATGCTCTGACAAATCATTAATAAATTAAGTGTGCAATCAAAAGTTGATTTTATAGCGTCTGAATTTAAAGGAAGGCATACCTCGCTTATAATTTTCCTTAAAACTTTGAAGCAGAAATTATTTAGCAAATACTTCCTTTTTCAATGTGCAACAATCCTTAGCTAAACGCACTTAATTTTTGCCTTGCAAAATTAATAAACAAATTAAAATCGACATGTCGAATATGTCAGTTGTCGAAACTGATTAGAAAAACTATTAAAAGATGAATTAGTTTGGGAATTAGTATTGAAATAAATTAAGATATTTTATAGATTTTTTCTTTTCATAACATGACATGTGCTCAATTTGTCAGTGTGAACCAGAGTGTTCTTTCCATTTTGTTAAAAAATTTTTAATTAGTTATTAAGACTTTTCATTTGTTTCACAATTTTGAATTTATATTTTTATGATGTCTTTGGTTAATTAATATGAACAACATGTCCCGATTTTCTATCGCGGGCGTTATGACTTTCTCCAGTCGATATTGAGGTCATTCATTTGAGTGAAATGCCGTCGTTATCAGGTCCCGATGGGATCGAAGATGTTAACTCTAATGACATTAGGCAAGAAATCACACGCTTTGAAAGTGTGCATCCTTCAATATATGCTATGTATGACCTTATTGAGTCACTTGCTGACCGTCGACAAGCTGATTTGTTTAGACGACAAGTTGCGAGTGTTGAAGGTATGTTATCATACTTATTGCGTGTTGTTACAGGCTAGATGCCTTTGTTAACAGTCAGGAGTGGACCTTAGGACACACAGTTCCGCAAATTAAATTGGTATGTTTTATTTCTTATCAGGACTCCAATTTTTAGGGTCTCCTTGGTTCGGTGCATAGCGGAAAGTCAGCGTTAGTTCACCGATACCTAACAGGCACGTATCTCCAAGATGAGTCTCCTGAAGGGGGAAGGTTTAAGAAGGAAGTTGTTCTCGATGGGTTGAGTTACCTGCTGTTAATTCGCGACGAGGGTGGAGCTCCAGATGAACAGTTCAGCCGATGGATCGATGGAGCTGTCTTTGTCTTTAGCTTAGATAGTGAGGACAGTTTTCGTGTTGTTTGCGAATACTTTGAGCGCCTTGATTCGTTCAGAGAAACTCACGATCTACCAATTATATTAGTCGGCACACAAGGTACATGAATTACCGCACCTAACATTTACCACTAGATTCTACCTCCGAATCGAACCCTCGAGTTATCGACGACTCCAAAGCTAGGCGCTTGGCAATCAGTCTAAACAAATGCCCGTATTACGAAACCTGCTCAACCTATGGCCTTAACGTGGAAAGAGTATTTCAGGATGGTAATTACTCTAGTCATGCTCATTTTCCGTATGTTAAGCTTGTATCAAAATTGTTCAGTCACGTCCTGACCTGAGCTATCTGCTTCCAACAAGCTCTGTTCAGCCTCCAAGGGCGCAGCCTTTCCAAATGTTTCAGCAGCGTTCTCAGTCGGCTTTTCCTGTACAGCAGGGGTTTTCACCTCAAATTTGCCCTCCAAACCCTTACCGTGACAGGGGCATGCCTCTGATTTCTCAAGTGAGATTATGAATTTGCTGCTTAAATTCAGTCCTTGTTATACATTTAATGATTATCCATTTAAAGTTAACTCGAAGATTGAGTTGGTTGCTGTTTTCGCTAAATCTTATAATCATCATTAAAAGTCGTTCTTGGGTAGGCTGCTTAGTCGTGATGTCGGTCGTTTATCCTTTATTACAGCTTAGGTTCCTCCTTGTATGCTGGTATTGCTTTCCACCGCCATATTATCTATGGCCTTATCTATTGGCGTTATACTAATTCTGTCGATTGTTCTCCCTTATTGAACAGTTCCAATCTGGTACAATCGGAGGCGACCCTAATATGGCTGGCTGTCTGAACACCCAAGTACCACTTCAGTGTATGTACGCCAACACTACAGCTCGGGCCGGTAGCTACCCACAAAGACTGCCACCTCTCCCCGTCGATAACGGCACCAATGGATGTATCAACACTAATACCAGCGGTGGCATTCTCACGACCCAATCGGCTGAATGTCGCCGTCCTGACATGCACAATAACCCCGGATTCGAACCTGATTTTGGCGACGTGAGTATTGCATTTCTGGGCCTTCTAGCCTCATACCCTAACGTCTGTGTCAATTGCACCCCAGTCCCGTAGCCAGTCTTAAGAACGCTTTGTTTATATTGCAGAAATTTGTTCCCCTAGGATGTTGCGTGAGTCCTCTGTCGTGGCGCCAGGAGTGCAATTTCACATTTACTTCTTTCAGCAGTATTTTCTTAGTGTACTTTAAATGTCCCAACGCAAAAAAACCAAGTCACCACAGTAAAACGGTTTAGGAAATAAGTCGCAATCATTCCATACTTTGAAATACCACTTATATTTACCGTTTTTCTTTACCTCTTCCTCCTTTTCATTGGCTGCCCCTGGCATTACTTTCGGTTATAATTTATTTGCGCTGTATGTTTGTTCGCGTGCTCATGTTTATGAGTAGTCCGCTCATTGCATCATCAGTCGTCCCAGTTCATTCGCGCAGCTGCGTTTATTTACCGAGGGTGGTGGTGTTGGCGATTGCAGCACCATCATTGCTCGGCCCGTTGCCACTGTGTTGTCGGTTCCTCTTGAGTTGCCAAAGTACCTTCAGCCACCATCCTTGCCGGATACTTATTGGGGCGTCCACCCATTCATCTCATCCGACCCTGATCAGTCTAATGTAGCCCAGTGGTATGCCACCAGTAATCCCTCACTCTCGGATCTTGGGAAAAGCCCTGGCAGTGACAAATCCGGTTCGGACAGCGGTTGGCCAACACTCAGTCGCATTAAGCATGTACGTGGCTGGCTTGTAATATCTCAAGCCTCCGAAGCGTCGAGCTGCAAGGCCCTGTTTTTGAGCTCATGAGTTTCTTTCGATGGCACACATGCTTCAGACATGTTGGAACGTTCACAGAGGTCACACGTAGTTCAATTCGACGTTTGTCGTGCAGTGTTAGAGACAGCATTGATCCCCCGTCCCTCCATAATTGGTACCAAACATGGCATGCTACTCGGTTCACGCATGCCGCGTTTCCACATTCCCCTCGTTTTATTTACTCGGCAATAAGTTTCCCAAGACGCAGTAAAATTGTTGCAGCATGTAGCGTATTTTGTTGCAGCGGTGATCTCCTCTTTCTCTGTGTTTGCTCGTGGTCGAAGCCGTTTTTTGTTCAGTGTTGCATTTTTTTGGTATGCCGTCACGGTCATTGTGCGAATTGGCTGATTTCATCCTTTATTCGAGGCATTACTTGCTAATTCAATGCCAGAACTTGAACAAATAACAAACTCTGTGTGTGCGAAGTGGTTGAGTGCAATTCATTTCCGCCATCTTCTGTTGCTACTTCATGCTATTTACTTAGCTATTTACTGAGGCTCGAATAGTCGTCTCTACACTTAAAAACTAGATGTCACCAACTCCACTCGAACTCCAGGCAGCTCGGCATTCATGGTATGATCTCAATCGATCTCGATTTCCACGTAGAGCCTTATTAGGACCACTTAGTTTCAGTTGGAACTGCTCACATTAACACCTTCTACACTAAAAAAGACTAGATGTCACCAACTCCACTCGAACTCCAGGCAGCTCGTCATTCATGGTGTGATCTCAATCGATCTCGATTTCCACGTAGAGCCTTATTAGGACCACTTAGTTTCAATTGGAACTGCTCACATTAACACCTTCTACACTAAAAAACTAGATGTTACATGTGCATATGTGTTAGGTGTCCGATTGATTGCACGTCTTTAGAGCGATTGGCGTGTGTGTGTGCTCGTGTGTTTGCGTAATTCATGTTCACTGTAGGCTGGTGTTTGGGGTGGGGGTTGACGGTAGGGCTTGCCTCAGATTGCGCGTTGTTTGTGTGTGTGTGTGTGTGTGCCAGTGTCATTTTTCTCCACATTTATTCCCCTTGTCAGCTGAAAATTGGTTTCGCCAGTTGTGAACCCGTCTTGCTGTAGATTCAAGATGGCCTTGTCAAATTGTAGCACGTTTGAGTGTCGGTAACACGGGGTTTTTCAGGCAAACTCAACTTCGCAGCCTTATCCATTTGATACCTCTCGAGGTGGTAGCTAACACCTTTAAAGCGCCTTTGTCTTACACCCCTTGTTGCGACAGCTTACACGCCTTTGCTGGCGGCGTTCGCTGAATTCTAGGTTGACAATTTTAGTCCCCATCAGCTGCAATTATTTTTCGTTCGCTCGAGAAATCGCAATACGAACAAAGTAACTTGGGTTTGCGATGGTGTGTAGAAAGGCAGCCTGCTTAGCTACTCGTGTGTGCTAGTTTTTTTCTTTTTCGGTGGAAGAATTCGCTGGATATAATAGCCACTCAACTTGCGAATGCAATTATCCACCAAGTGGCGGTGCTTTCACTGGTGTCCACTGTGTAGGACGTTTCGGGACTGTCCATTGAACCCGCGTCCCAACATCATGTTCCGGAGGGGGGGGGACAATCGCGGGAGGGGAGGGGTATTCGCGTGCCCGCAGTTGATGTGACATCTTTATCGGAAAGTTGACTGTCTGACGCCTTTCAAAGACCCCGCGGACCCGCATCGACATCTGCCTTTTTCGAGGCCGTTTTAATGCGTGTAAGCCAGCTCCCTCACCACTTCATCGGTTTCACGTGGGGACTACTGCCTTGCATATGTCCGATTTCCGTCTGAACCTCCTCATTTTCCCATTAGGCTGTCCAGTCATCGAAATCGACATCGCAAACGGCGTTTACTGGGTCTGTATAACTCGCAGTTTGTAAGCATCTTAAGGTCTAGATAGTATTGCTCCTTTAGGAATCGCGCAGTATTCTTACTTACTATCCTTATGCCTCGACAAGTCACCTGTCAACAAAGCCGTGGTCATGTGCTAATTGACCGATGTATGATCGTGTATTTGTTGTCTTGTGAACATTCATTTTTCTGTAGCGAAGACGGCGTGGTGAGCGAAAGAAGCACAGGAAGTACCTCTGCATACCGAAAAGGGTTTGCTCTTTGTTTGCCCCTGTACACGCACTGCCCCCTCCCCCCGTCTTACAACCACTACCCCCTCATTTGCCGTGTTGCCTTTGGGGCGATGACCCTACTTCATCTCACACCATCTCAGCTCTGATTTTAACTGCTCCTAACGCTGATCTACACACCCACACACACATATCCGCGGCTGCGTTGGAATTGCCAATCACGTAACACCTCGCCCCCTTAATGGGGTCCCTTGATTCCGTGTTGTAGGCCTTGTAAGGCGGTACCGGTGTTCATTCGGAGTCACACGGCTTCTGGCTTTGCTTACTGCTCTGTGCTTTTGGCGTTCGCAAACAATCGATTCAACATTCAGCATCTTAGTCCAAGGTGTATTCTCTTGACACCTTGCTGGTGCGTTGATCCTGTCCACTGTCCGACTCCATTCAGATTTTCCACCGTTCGCACGTAAATGCCTCGCTTTTTCGCCGTGCCAAGGTTGGGCTGTGGTCTTGTTTACGTACTTGAGCTCAACCACTAGAAAGTCATCGCTTTTGCCAGGCCAGGGTTGTACAACCCATAAAGACGACTCAAAAGTTTCCGGCGGGGTGGTTACTAACCTCCCCAACCACTAGAAGCTGATCACTTTCAAAGGAGAACAGGTTTGGTACTTGGTCGGCTATTGATGCTTTGCTAACTTGCTTATCTTGCTGGAATTTAATGTGGATTTTGCTCACCAGTGTTGTGATTACCTAGGAGAATCCTCGATTCACGGTCAAAGAGATGCCAACTATTTCAGGACAAAGCGGTCTTCGTGGTGTACAAAAGAACCCCTATCGCTTATCTAGTGCCTCAACTTCCCCTTATTTGGCACCTTGTGGTTTGATTTGAAAATTCGCTTTGGTTGTTGTCTTTTCTACTTGATTCGTCTGCCGATGATCTCTTGCAGGCCTCCCGTCACCTCTCAACAATGTCATTTACCGAAAGGCCATTGGCCGTGCGCTTAAACCCCCCAATGGCTAGTTAGGGGTGTCGTAAAGAGCCCCCAGCAGACCCCGCCATGACCCCACCACACATGTCCAGCTATTTCCCTGTTCTCTCTGTGCGTATGTGTGTGCGTCAGTAGATTGACTCTACAGATACCGAAGAAAGGGTAATTCTCCACTAAAGTTAACCTCTGAGTGACTTCCCATTTCATTTTGTGTTTGTCCAATGCTCTGCAAACTGTCCGAACTACGGATCTTAGGTTAACTATTGGAATTGCGTTTGGTGAATTTACTGCCACACTCTAGCGCTGTGATTTGTTTCGCCAGAAGTACTCGTGCCCCATCTGGTGATTTTCTCGCCGCAAGTTGACGTCGCTGCCAATTTGCCTCGCCCTCACCCCCCACCCTCCCCCGCCCCTAGTCGATGGCATGCCAAGTTTCTTTCTGCTAGGTTGTTAAATTTGGTAACTCGCGAAAACTCCCCCAGTTGGCAAGTGTGTTCATCACCTAGACTGTATTTACCATGTACTGTCATGATTTATGAGTCGGCTGTTCGATGCTTAATTGGGTTTATGAACTAGCTATGCGGTCTGTTTGCTATGCGTAAAGTTTGTCTGTGGCTTCTGCCACCACCACCAACGCCTCAATATGCAGTGCTCATCGTTTATGGTTTGCTACTGTTGTCACCTCGTCGCCCGTTTTTTTCGCTTTTCCGTCAACCGTGTTCCCTGCTCTCACTGGCCAGGCCATCGTGCGCATCGATTGGCTGCTCACAGTCTACAAGTAATTCCCCAAATCCCACCACCATCTGTCACGACCTCGGTCAGTTGTGCGCACAGTTTGACTTGACAGTTTGCCCAATTGCCCTGCACTGACGCGTCGCTCTTCAGTCGATTTGGTTTATTTAGTTTACCTGTTTGTTTAATTTTCTTTAATCGAGTGCTGGTTGAGTGTGCCTGTGTGTGTGTGTGCGTGTGGTGGAAGGTCCGTGGTCGCCTTGAGACAATAGAGACCCACTCCGCTTTGTAGCGCGTTCGCTCGTTTGACAGTAACACCGCGCCTCACCTTCCCAGCTCTCTTTCTCCCTCTCCTCCCACCTTAAACATCCTCTTCTTTGCTTTTTTGTCGTGTAGGATTCGCGCGGAGAGGCTAAGGATTCCCTCACGCCTAGTAGCACACCCACCCAATCCAGGAAGACCAGGCCTAAGTCCAATCTATTTGTACGACTACCGTGTTTTTTGCCCTTTACTCTACTCTCACATTTTTAGAAGAAGTCCGACGAATCGCGAGAGAAGGAGAAGAAGGGAGCGCTGGACGGGATTGGGAGCGGGCGATCGATTCCAATCAAACAGGTACCCCTCTCTACCTACGTATTAGCACACTTTAAAAACCGAGCGTGCCACGACGCCCCGGGACACCGTAGAACACGAAAATGAAGTGCGGCTTTGTGTGGACTTTCTAAGTACATCATCATTTCGATATTTCACTGCCTTTGCAGTGCTTTCGTCAATTGTCGATACGCAAATGTCAGTGGTTTGGGGCAAATCTAATGCTTTGGTGAAAACACATTCTATTTTTCCACCAATACATTTAGCCTTACTATGATGCAATTGCCTGGTGTCGCTAGAAATACCTCCGTAACAACAGACCTCTATGTTGGTTTGTTTTACTGCGCGCTCTTTTTGACGGTGCGACCTTCAGAACAGGGTCGTATTTGAATCAATCCCATGCGTCGTCATTGCTTAGATATCGGCTTCGGCGCGGTTTCCTCGTTAGGGCGCACCTGTTGACTTTTCTTGTTTCGGGTGACTTGAACCTCGAGAGTGTGAGCAGTTCGTTTGAGTGCTTTTAGTGGAACTTTCGGCATTCCAGTGTATGGTGTGTGTGCGAGTTCGCCTCCACCAGTGGCGAGGTGGGGGTTTCTTGTGTGAATGTGGGCCCATTTACTCATCATGTACTCTTTTGGCCTGTTTTACAGGGTTACCTCTACAAGCGGACTTGCAAACCCCTGAGCAAGGAGTGGAAAACGAAGAAATATGTCGCCTTGACAGACGACGCTAGGCTCATCTATCACTCTAACATCCAGGTAAGGTGACACATACGACCTTGGCATCTCAGGCTTGGCTACCTACTCAGTAAAGCGTTGTGTTCGGTTCATTATGTGTCCTAGCTCCATTCCTGGCAGCCAGACGTGTTTTTGTGTAGATTTGCGTAGTCTGTCGTGCATTGTACACACAAAAACCCATGTTGGTATGAGACATCCAACCTGTTAATGCACTCAATTTCTTCCCCCTCCTCCCCCCGCCACCCTCTCGTAAGCTCGTAAACCCACCTTTCGACACACGACCCACTCGATGCTGACTAATTGCCGATGTGCTTTCCCCTCAATACCCCCACCCCAACAACAAAAACAACCTGTCTGAAACGCGAATCCATCGGCCGTAGCCATATGGAGCGGTGTCTAGGCAGGCCCATCTCGTCTCTTAATTAGCCCACACGCCACGGCCTATCTCATTCCTGTGACTTGCCTCTTTGCGCTACGTGTATCGCTCATGGACGGCGTCACCGCATATTGCTTGCTTATTGGGCAGTCTACAGGTTTAACCTGATCCGCATTACTTTAGGACTACGTCCAGAACGCCCACGGCAAAGAGATCGATCTGAGTCGGGTGACGGTGAAGATACCGGGCGTCATCTTCAGGCAGACGGGCGGTCAGGTGTTCTCTAATGGCTCTGGCCGAAATCCAGGCGTCGAGGCAACATCCGGTGAGTTGGGCCATTTGTGGGAACTATTTTCAATTTGGACCATGTGTTTCCCATAGTAACCGATTCATACGCACCTCCTTTCCTGAAATCAGCCATTCATCAGTGCTGTTTCAGGTTGTTGAGGGAGCTAGGCAACCCCTCTCGTTTCATCCAAGTTGAGTAAACATCCGATTGAAACCGTGCCGACTCGCTTGTTTAAACCAACTACGGCGGTAAATTTTCACCAGTCACCTATTGCATTCCCATCGGTGGATGCGGTCACACTTTCTCATCTAGAAAGTCGCTTTATGACCTGAGTATACTTCACCTCTTCGTGTGTGAGATTTTCGTTAGGAGAGCATTTTGTGCTGACTCCGTCCAAATTGCTAGCGCCAAGCAAGCCACGTGATTGAATTAGAAGTCGGGCTACTGTTCTTGTCCTGAAGCTGTGCTGATCGTTTTTAACGTCTAAATAATGTTGACAATGTCAACCACTTTGAAATCCTCCTCTCTCTCTCTCTCTCCCCCTACTGTCGTTATTTCAGTTATTGGCACGTACAAGTATCCAAGCCCAGCGATCAACCACCCACACAACATTTACCCCCTAACGAACCGGCCCACGGCAGTATATCATGCAAATTATAACCTTTTGTTTGTGTGACTGCGGTCGGCTGTGTGTGCTAATCGGTTACCGTTTACCGCTTATTGCACGATTGCATTTTCTGTAAGCGCTATGTTCTGCTGTTTGCGCAAACCTGTCCCGCAAGGTCGATGAGTCAGTCCATTAGTCATCAAGGTCCACCTCCCCCCCCGCTCCACACCCACACATTTTGCGTATTTTTCTGTTCACTTTGCAGACAAGCTGGCCGGTTCTTCCCTGGAGAACACCAGTGGGCCACCGGATCAAGGACAGGCCTCCAGCGAAGGTAGCATGAATCCCGGTAAGACTCATTCCCCTCTCCCTGTAGAATTGTCTTCCCCCTCCCTCTCACCTCTCCTTGTCCTTGCGGTCAGTTTTTCTTCAAGGCAGCACATTGTGGCAAAGTGGCTGCCAAGGTCATGTCGCCTTTTGCCAGTAATTGGTCTTAATCGATAATACCGTGACCCGTTCCTTTGTCCGGTTTTTATAGGCTGCTTCTTTCGCAGAGGTAAATTGCTTTTACCCCTTTTTCCCATGGCTATTTCTCCTTATTTAGGCTCGCTACACTCTTGTGTTGTAAACGTCCTCCTTTTTTTCCGGCGTAAAGTCAAGTTTTTTTTAATTTTGTGTCCCTCTCAAGGTAATCGCCCGCACCCCCAGCAGGGCACGAAGGAGAACTCCAATAAACGCTACCGACGGGTGAAGTCCTCTCAAAAGGCCGGTGCCGCTGACGGATACGGTATGTCCGGTTTCTCTCTCGTTTGTTTACTCCACGCTAATCATTTTAACCCCACCGTCGCCCACGCCAACTGTCAATAAGCGGCATTTGACGGTGCCTGACGTTGTCATCGTGATTGTGCCCTGTGCCACACACAAAAATGCAAAAATGGTGCATTGGGTCTAAGCTTATCGCATCCCAACAACTGTTCGTAATCGGCATCTTGCAACTCCTGTCTCCTGCCTGTGAGAGATTTTGAGGCATGCCCACGTCACCAGTGGTATGCGCGTAACCAAATTACCGTCTGGTGTGCATGTCAGTGGGGCATACATTTCGAATAGTTGAAATCTCTGCCCTCGTCCTTTCTAATTAGATGGGGGAAATGTGCATGTCGATGAACTTGTCAATTTGAGCTCACCATCGTAGACCGTCATTCCTGAGTATCCACGCCCGCACCATCAGCCCCACAACACAAGAATGTCAATACCGCGAACCTGCTTTACCCCTAGCTATCCAATACGGTGTGTGCGTGCATGGGGGTACGCAGATAACCATCTACGTGGGGCTAAGGGGAACAGATCGCCAGTTTGGATATGGGGGAGGTGGGGGAGAGGGTTATTGTGTGGATGGGCACGCGTCTCGTGTCCTGGGTCTCGCTCGTTCACCCATGTTGTGTGTGACAAGCGGCGAGGTAATGCGGACAGACGGCATGCTGTTAATGAATTTCCACTCGTGGTGTGTTTCCGTGATTTTGAGGCCAACTGTCATCCTGAGACGTGCACACAGCGGTACTGTGTCCGGGTGAAGGCCACTCCACTTGCAAGTTCCGTGGCGGGTCTAGCTTTCCTACTGCCTCAAAAAGGATATTTGCCAGGCCGCTTGGCGTCTGTTCCAGTGATTTTCCACCACTAGGTCGTCCTCTTAAACTATCGAGTTCTTACACATTGCGGTGGCCATTAATGTCGCGCTCACACGCACGCACGCGCGCGCTCACGCTGCTTGGCGTCGGCGTGGCTGTAGAACAGGCGTGCGTTTTGTGCTGACTAATCAGACCCAATTAGTTCGTCCTCTCCCGCCTCTCTCTCAATTGCCTCCTACTTGCGCAAATTGTTTTTGCCTGTGTGTGTATGTTTAGCATTGCGTGTGCAACGTGCTCGCGCGCCTACCGTGTTTTGCTTGATGCGGAATTGCGGTGGGCGACGACTTGTTCGGCTTTTTATGGTGCCTTCAAGGCCTGCCGATGCGATCCCCCTTGTCCTTTCCTTACCTGCATTTCCTCCTGCCTTGAATTAGAGTCCGAGGGTTACGAGTTCCAGTTGATCTCAATGGACCGTCAGTGGAACTTTGAGGCGCACAGCTCGGAGGATCGCGACGACTGGGTGGCGCACATCGACCAGGCCATTATCATGCGCCTTCAGTTGTTGGATTCCAGCAAACGAACAGGTGAAAGCCAAATCGCCGGAGGTTCTGCGGACACCCCATCAAATAGCTGGGGTGGTGGCAGTCATTCGCTGTCTGGCGGCGGCGGCGGCTCCGATCCTGGAACCCAGAAAGACGGGGGAAGTGAGAAGGCCGAGATCATCAGAGTTGACGAGGCTATGGCCAAGTCCCTTCGGTCTGTCGCCGGAAACGACACCTGCGCGGATTGTGGAGCCCCCGGTGTGTCCTCTTACATTCCCGATGTCTGTGACGCTGGTCACTGCAGAATCTGTTTTAATCTGCCTGATTTCTTCCGTTGTCTATCAAACACCCCTACAATCTGCAAGGGCGCGGAGGTTGCGTTTGTGTTTACTAGTTGACAAACAAAAACCCAATTGTGGTGTTTACGCTAGAAAGTACCTCCCAAAGCTACCGACGTTCTTTTGTTTACGCCATCGCTGTTGTGGAATCCTTGCAGATCCCGATTGGGCGAGTCTCAACCTCGGCGAGATGGTCTGCATCGAATGCAGTGGAGTCCACCGGAAGTTGGGCACCCACATCTCGCGGATACGCTCGCTCATGCTCGACGACTGGACCAAAGAGGCCATCGCGGTGATGCGGGCCATCGGCAACACCCTCGCCAACTCCGTCTGGGAGGCCGCTGTGCCCGGCAACGCCGCAAACCGCAGGTAACCCCTCCCCCCCCGGCCCTCTTCTGGCCTGCCTCACATTTCACTCTTCCGTGGCATCTTCAAAGTTCAACCACACGTTTTAAGCCACGTGAGCGCAAAAGCGTCTTTGGTCATAAAAAGAGGGCTATCTGGCTCGCAGTCTAGAATTTCTCACACATACCATAAGCCCCTAAATTATGGCAGTCAATAAATTCGCCGCTGTTTTTTTTTCAACGCTGCTCATCGTTAACTTTGACGTAGTAGACGTGGAGCGTTCAGTTGTATCGGCGTTATGCTATGTTTCTGTTAGCGTTCAACGCCATTTTTCATCCAATCGCGCTGCTTCAGGCCACCCAACCGACCCCCAAGCATTATCTTTGCTCCTGGACATCGATTTCTGCGTCACCCATTGAGCGCGCTATTCGTCTTACCGAACTGAAGTTTTTCGTGTGTTGTGTGTGTGTGTGTGTGTGTGTGTGTGTGTGTGGTAAGAACGGCGCGAATGTGTCGTGTGAACCACATCCCCCGTCTCATCTGGCAGCCATTCAGCATAGCGCCGTGGTGATCATGGTTCGAGGTGAGTCACACCTTCCGGGACTGCAACCCCCTTAGGTCTAGCTGTGCACGCGGAGCTTTCCCGAGTACTCTCTGTGCCTAAACAATCTTAAACAATAACCGCGCACTTGGAAATCGAACCATCGCTAGGTTTTGTCTCGACTACACACTGTCTGTTATCTGTGCTCGTTCACTTTTATGGCAAGTGTCAATGACTGAGGTTCCAACGAAGTCCCTTCTATCAACCGCGTTGGAGCGGGCATTAGTCTTTGTTCGTGTGTCTAATTATCCGACACAAATTTCAGTCCTGGTTAACACTTTAGGCTTAGATCATTACCAAAAAAAGTACGCTGATCACCATTAGCGTTGGGTTTCGTTCATGCAGGCGGTGCCCTACTCGAAGTATAATGTGATCCTTTGGGAAAAAAGTCAATTACCTCATTAACCTTCGCACCGAGATCTGCGTGCATTATTTTGGAAGTGATTAATCACCTCCCAGATGCTTGCTTTCCGCGTCGTTATTTGAAGTTACCACGGCGAAGTGAAGTCTCGTATGGGGTGCCTAAACCTAACGTTAATCCTGATAACGCGTGGCCCCCGTCCCACGACTCTCCCACGTATGCAGATCAGTTTGCCGCAAGTAGCCGCGCCACTTCCGCGTCCCTAGTGCGGTTTTCGGGTCTTCTCTTGCCATCCGATCAGCTGAATTGTGCGAGCAGGGTGCTGTGTTGTTTGTGTGCCTCATCGCTCCACAGCACGTACTTTTATCCACGCCTGACACTGGGATTTCGCGGCTTTGTTTATGTGCAGTGCTCTGACAATTCGACCCGCCCTGCAACTTTTTAATCGTTTTTCTTGACCTTTGGTTTGGCATTTCGTCGCCTACTCGACTTTGCTCTCGAGTGTCGCTCGACGTCTACTCCTCAAGGCCTACGTCGGTCATTTATGGTACTTTGACCCTGTCACGTGTCGACTGACTTTCATGGAATGCACGATTGGTGGCCCTTGAGTTTGTGTACTTTTTTTCCTCTCAAACCTCGGTCTGCATCTAGCACGAACTTCAAACGTCACCTCGAATGCCCCTTTCATGCTGCTTGTGTGTCCTAGACGACGTCAGCTGAAATATGTTATGTTTTTTTTTTAGGAAACCAGACAGCCACAGCTCCAAGGAGGAGATGGAGGCGTGGATCCGCGCGAAGTACGAGCATCGCGAGTTCCTGCCGCCGTTGCCCTATCCCGAGGCTCCGCTGCAGCAGCAGTTGATCGACGCGATCGCCCGACAGGATACGCGACAGGTCATCCTCTGTCTGGCCCGCGCCACCCCAGATACCGTGAACGCGCCCTACTCGCGGCACGACCCGCGCGCGGCCATCCACATCGCCGCCACCCTCGGCAACATCGTCTATCTCCAGCTGCTTCTGTGGGTAAGGACACTTTGCTTGCATCTAGGATCTATTGGTTCGTCTCCGAGTAGCCCAACTCGGCGTAGTTGTGTAAAAGGTGGCCATTCAGTTGGGGATTTGTGTCGATCGTGTTGGCGCTTTTGTTCTAGTACAACGGCAACCCGAGTGTCATGGATGCGGAGGGCAGAAACGCCTTCTACTACGCGCACTGCTCGTATCACTTCGACTGTGCCAGCTTCCTTGCCCGCAACGGTTGTCCGCGTCAGGCGGTGCCCACGCCCTCCCCTGCCCTCTTCTCATCCGCTGCGGTCGCCCAGCAACCGCCTCACCATCACCAGCAGCAGCAACGACCACCGCCACCGTCGGCGCAACAGCAGCAGCAGCAGGTCAAGTCTCCACCTGCGCACAATCCGATGACCCCCAAACACCAACATTCGGCGTTTCAACAACAACAGCAATCTCTCCAGCAAATGGGCTACCGAGGCAGCAGCGGAAGCCCCTCTATGGCATCGGGACTGCCTCCTCCGACACCACAGAGCGTCATGCCTGGCCAGATCCCCTCTGGGTTTGCTCCCGGTAAGTTCAACGCACTCCGTGCTTGGTGTAATCCTACCTTCCTGGTCACTTATGCTCCCTTCGCATTGACGCGTTTTAATATTCTCTGAACCAGGGCCAAACCGTCTAAGGACTTCCACCTTCTAGGGGTAAGTGGATGATGTGGGCTTTCGTGAACCCCATTCCTACACCGTATTTCATCGTCATCAATCTGGTTTTCATCGAACGTTGGGCAAATTTTCTGCTTTTGACATGAGAACTCCGCGAATAGTTCCTCTCTGGGTTTTGTTTTCCTGTTTGACTGGAACTTTGTCTACAGCTGCACTGCCGGTGAAGTGAACTTGGGTGTTTCAGGTTACCTTGTTACCATTATGACCCTGTCCAATAACCAATGTCTGCTGATCACGTTGCAGTTTTCAAGGCTTGATTTTTTTCTAAAGCACTTAATCCAAACGCCACTGCACCCAAGTGTGACGCCACAATCTGTTTGGTAGGTTGCGCAGTTTTTTTTTGGTCAAACACATCCATCGCCTCGTCTGTTTATCTATCTCTGTCTGCTCTCATCCTCCAAAGTCACAACGGGAGTTGAGTGTTTGCAATTTGGTTGCTTGGACGGATTTAATGGTGGTATGAAGTCGGACCAGTTTCTCAGTCACCCACACAGCTTTTTCCGAGCGTTTACACCAAATGAAAAAAATTCGAAATTGACCATGCACAACCCAGGTCACCGTATGAACACATGTCTTTCATTGCTTGCCCGTCAGCAACAAAAAAGGCCCTCTTGTGGTAAATTTTGACGGATGACGAAAAGCATATTTTGCTCGAGAATCCCAGTACATCGACGCCGAAACCGGACATCTGCTTGAAGAATACTCTCCTGTGTATCTGGTGGGACAGGAAGGGTGTTCTTTATTACGGACTCCTGGAAACTGGCCGTCAGACGGTGACTGCGGAACGCTTCAGGTGGCAGTTGCACAAACTGGGGGAAGACCTTGACAAGGAAATGCGTTTTTTGGACATGGAAACTGACAATTCATGCAGCTGATGTGTGACAATCCTCG